TATATATACTACTTAATACACTGATTGTAAACAGATAAATCTAGTTTTTCTAATCTAGATTCATGTTGTATTCAGATTTGAGATTTTCTAACATTTAAAATTAAAAAGCTTTTGAGTTAAAAATTACCATAAAGAAGAATTTGCATGGATCATTGCTTGTGTTACCAATTAGACAAAAGGAGAATGTATATAAAAGAGATAAATGGTCACCAAAATACTCTTTACTAGTAGAACCTGTTGTCTGGAATTTGAAGACAAGTTATTTCCACTTGCTGTTTTCTTGTCTGGACTATGTATAAATCTGGCTTTGAAAGATTTCTCTCTTTTGGGAATAGTAAGAAAATCTATTATGTTTACTAATGCTAGTCACAGTCTCTGAGTGTTGAAATGCAAGCTTATCTGTACAGTTTAATATATACAGTATGTTTCCATGGTGCTAGGATTCAAGTATTGTGGCATATTTGTAACAAAAGTAATTTTTTTAAAAATTTTATTTTATTATTATTTTTGTGTGTGTGTGTGTGTGTGTGTCTGTGTACCGTCAAATCAGATCTGACTGGTACTGGAGGAGATTGTCCCTCCTTTCTCGGCAGAGCATCTGGTGGATTCGAACCATGTACTTCTGGGATTGCAGTGCAGCTTCTTGCCACTAGGCCACCAGAGCTCCCCTGTAACAAAAGTAATTTAATAAAAAATATGAAAATATTCACATGTGCTTTTCATGAGAAATAACTAAAAAAAGTGTACTTTTTAAAAACATAATGCAGTGATTCTTACATTAGAATTGTTTTAAAACAAAGTGTTTTGGATACAAATAGTAGAAGTGGGAATAAAAGCTTCAGATTGCTTATCACATTTGCTGTCTATACACTGACAATAGAAGCAGATACATTCAACTGATGAAGAAAATATATAGCAAATTATTCAAGTAACTTAACCCTGAAACTTGTTAGTCATTGTCAAGTGAATTCTGAGTCAGGGTGACACCAAGTGTGTGAAGCAGAACTACTCCAAGAGGGTTTTCAGGCTGTGACCCATCAGAAGCAGATCACCAGACTTGTATTTCAAGATGCCTACAAGTGGGTTGGAATTGCCAACGTTTTGGTTAGCAGTTCAGTGCTTAATAATCTGTACTACCAATAAACCTTGAGCTTATTTTAAAAAGACATAAACATTGTTTTTTAAGAAAAGCTTTCTAGGCTGTTATTATCCTACACATAAAGAAATTCTAAAAGTGTACAGGGTACACAATTTTGCATGTGGCTAGAAAAAAAAGGATGATTACATGTAGTAAAGGTAACTAGAGAGGTAGAGATAGTATCAAGTGATTCTTTTTTAAAATATACATATAAGAAGATTAAATGAACTAAAGAGATCAGACACAGGTTAACTAGCAAACAAGGAACTATACAGCAAGAAAGCTACATAAAAAATTTGTAAAAACTATCTTTTTCAATATATCTATTAAATATAAAACAACCATACCAAAAATAACAAATTTATCACTTAACCAGTTCATACATCATTTGTCTATTAAAAATTAAAAATAAATTACTTTTCAAAATCCAAAAGAAACTTTCTAAACAAATGAAAGATACAAATTAAGGACCTGTATGAATGTTTAAAATCATTACAAATTGCATTTTTGTTTCAAGAAGCAAAACAACAAAATGACAGTATTAGTAAAAGTTTCAAATAGCTAAACGGAGCAATGGTGTCAATTAATTTAAAGAAACAATTTACTAATGCTTGCATAATGTGGTTGTTGGGTGTCATCAAGTCGGAACTGACCCATAGTTGACTCTCCAGTGGGTTTTCAGAGGCAAGGCAGATGGCCTATCCTTCTTCTGCGGAGTAGTTGGTGGATTCCAACCATGTGCTTTCAGGATTGCAGTGCATATCCCTACCACTAGACAAATAGATACCCTATATTTACATAAATATTCTGTTGGATAATGGACTTAAAAAGCAATGTTGAGATATCAGAATATTATAGTTATTACCATTTTTTAATTTTGTCATGTGCCCAAAGATGTATATACCCTAGAGATTCTCAAGATTTTTTTCAAGCAAAACAAGTAACTTTATAAACTCTTATGTAAAGCTTCTACCTTTATTTAAGACTCATAATGAAAGGATAAACACAATGAGTGACACTACTTCCCTGTTTAAAAAACCCCCAAACCTCAGTTAAATTACTATGTTATCATTGTTGTTGTGTACCTTAGAGTTGGAACAGACCCACTGCTGACTCTCTGGTGGGTTTTCAGAAGCAGTTAATTGCACAGATGCCCAACTTTATGCGGCGGAGCAGCTGGTGGATTTGAACATGCCTCCGGGATTGCAGCGCAGCTTCTTGCCACTAGACCACCAGATCTCTCTTAAACGATTGTTTTTAAAGTGGGATAATTTGATATGTGGGAAAATATAAATTCTTAACAGTTAGTATTCACTAAATATACTGAGCACAAAGTCAATTAAATTTTCTTGTCAGATTGTGTCCCCAGAATTTAATTTAAATACCAAAATACATTTCCTTCTGTGAAATTCTATGACATTTAAAATATATTTACATAGCATTTAAGATTTGCATCTCTGAGCTACATTTTCTACCATGTCTTGATTCTCTAAATGCACTTACTATTACAAAATTAACAATGTTCATGCATTAAAATATTTTTGTTAATTTCAAAATTTTGCTCCAAATAGCATATTTTAATTTTTTATTAGGATTGTCATTACCATTGGTACCCTCTTCCCATGAATTAGCACATTTTCAAAGTGAACAATACAGTTGAGAAATAACACAAAAGTACAGGAACTTATATAGCCAAGGAATTGTTATTAAAGATGAATACAGTAAGGCCTTCAGAAGTTGAACAGGTTATAAAAATATCATACAACCGCTCAACTGCATATATGACATGATGTAAGACAAAGGTTCATTTCCACAAACATAGTATATTTGATGAAACATTATAAACTTACACAGCACAATCTTTTAATGCTAAACATTTTCAAATCTGCCAGAAAACTAAAATAACAATTATGCCTGTGTAATAAGAGATTATTTTGAAAATATACTTTGAAAAAAAAAAAAAAAGAAAATATACTTTGAAATATTTTATCCTTCTCACAATTTTTTATTACATGTCTACAAATTTTGTTTAGGAAATTTTGATTTTGAATACTTAAAAATATTATCACTATAATGAACACATTTGATATCCGATACTTTATTGTTTTTGAAATCTTAAAATAGAGGAAGACTAAACCTGATTAATTAATTATTAATTATGAAAGCATAGCAATTTAAACACATAAATACCCAACCAGCATCTCAATGTGGCTAAACATAAATCTTTTAATTAGTTTTAATTCTATGCATTTTTAGGGTGAAGATCTCATTTAGCACTGGGTAATAGGATATATAAGTCTGAACATTATTTCAGTTTAGAAATACCATGCTTGAAATGTGGTAACTTTTTAAAGAAATAGTTGTGAAGATGGACACTGAAAATCATATGAGTTTGACATTCAGAGAGTTTGGTTTCTACCAATTGGGAATCACTAGAAAATTAATTTAAAATACTTGTAACTTTAAACACTGAAAACTCTGGAAGGAACAAATGTAGGATAGCATTCTGTACTAATTACCAAAGAATAGCCAAGAGCTTGTAATGCAAGATTTTTGAGTCAAATTCTGCTTAACAAAATTCATTACAACTGTATAAAAATAGTTGTTTTCCAAAAGTATTACTATTTATTAAAACAGAAGACTTTAAAAAATATATTCAGTATGAATGAAAAAATAATTCTTATATTCAATAGATAACTCTACCTATAGTCAATTAAATTAAAACTGTATCTTTGAAAGCATTTTCCCCACTAGTTAATTCATCTTACCATTTCAGAAATATATTTTTCTCCTTTGAACTAACTTATTAAATAATTCATGCAATTTAAAACTTCAACTCCAGTGTTAATCTAACTGCTTAAAAAACCCATTATTATGAAGCAAAGTTGTGGCTCCTTTCCCTCAGCTCTACTGGGGCCACAGAAAGGGAACTCAGAGAGTCTCTCCCAGTCATCAGTCAGAGCACCCCTGGCAGTAGTGGCATTTTGTTGGTATTTAGGTGCCACTGCGTTGGCTCTGACTCATAGTAACCCTTGAATTTAACACTGTGAGGCCATTTTAATGATGTAACACCAAGATAATCTGGAATGTCTTCAAGAAACATTATTGGTTCAACTCACTGAAATCTGTACTACTTTTTTGGTTGTTTCTGTTAATGATAATAAAACTCAAACTGTATTTTGCAGATCAGGCAGTACAATATTCTGGTTGCTTACTAGTTCAAAAATTCTCCAAATGGAGACATTAGAGACAATAGTTATTTCATTTAAACTTACCAAATAAATGTTTTGCTTCTTTGAATGACCTTTTAAAACTTTAGTGGAAATTAATGCACAAGAAAATTTAAAACAATAATAACATTTCTCTGATTTCCAGAAAAGAAATGCAAATTAAAGATTAATGGTGAAATTCTATTCGTATAAAAATATCTGGCTACTACCTAGCACGGGACTATCCGGATTGCTTTCAGCTATTCTGAAACATTCAAAACTAAACTCAATCCACTGCCACTGAGTCCATTCCAACTCACAGCAACCATGTAGGACAGACGACAAAAGCAGGCTACCACATCTTTCTCCCATGGAGTAGTTGGTGAGCTCAAACTGCTGACTCTTTGCTTAGCAGCCTAGAGCTTACACCACTGGGGCCATCTGAGAACAATTTAGATGATATATGGAGAAAAGATGTGTGAGCCTTTATATATTAAATTTAAAAATCAATTTTATTCTCTGACAAGACAGACACAGCATATTACTTCATCGATTTGCATGTACTTTAACAAATAACATTTAGCAATCCTTTTTATAAATATAAAAATTTCAGATATGTAAAAATGGTTTTTCAAATCATACTTCTATTTATTCACAGTTCTATAGGTAATAATTATAATTTTAAAACTTTTAGTATTCCGTGTGATTTCATATAGCTGTACAGAAAGAGTAAGATAAAAAAACATTTAATAAGATTAAATAAATCTGATTTATAAAAATTGATATCCGATATTTGTTGTGTGCTCTTGCAAAGAGTGCATAGGGCTTTTCTGCAGCAATCAGAAAAGTAAAATCTTCTTAAACTCAGATGTCAAGTTTCTTCCAAAAGTTAATCTAATCCCTGGAAATACTTTCAAGTTTTGATTCCTACATACAATAGGCATTCTGTTACATATATACATATTTTGTCTTTAAACTTTTATATTATCAAACCATTTGAATAATTTTCTCAGATTCAACATGATGATATCTTCACAGAATCTGCATTAAATTCTCTGTGCAAGGTAAATGTAGAATTTCCTAGTGCACCATCTTGAAAAAATTGTTCAGAGAAGTAGACAGCTATGCCTTAGTAGGATTTCCTGCAGGTTTGGGATCGTAACCATATAGGAAAGTAGCTGTTATTACAAGGATGGCTCCAAGGAAAAAGACACTAAATAAAAGAAAAATGAAAAAAAAATTTAAAAACAAAACAAACTCCTCGTGCTTATTTTTTATTAAAACATCTATAGTTTAGAAATATGTTCCAGTAATGTAGTTAACAAATATTGGGTACTTACTAATCCAGGTATTTGGTTAAGAGTTTTATATACATAATCTCATTAGTTCACATAACAACTCTATGAGGAAGGTACAATGATTATATTCCTTTTTATCATTTTAGAAACTAAGGCATTTAACTGTGTAGATCACAATAAACCGTGGCATACTCTGAGAAGAATGGGAATCCCAGAACACTTGATTGTGCTTACGCAAAACCTATATTGGGACCAAGTGGCAGTCATCAAAACAGTACAAAGAAATAATTGCATGGTTCAAAACGGGGAAGGGTGTGTGCCAAGGATGTATCCTATCTTTTTTTTTTTTAATTTCTTTCTTTTTGGATGTATCCTATCTTAATAGCTTTTCAATCTATACGCAGAACAGATTATCCAGGAGGCTGGGCTCTATGAGGAGAAATGCAGCATCAGAATTGGATGAAGACACATCAACAACCTGAATTATGTAGATGATACAACTCTGCTTGATGAAACTGAGGAGGACCTGAAGTGCTTGCTGCAGAGGGTCAAGGACTGCAGCCTTCAACAATGTGGATTTAAGATCAACATCAAGAAAACAAATATTCTCACCACTGGGCCAGTTGGCAGCAACATGATGGGTAGTGAAGAGATTGAGCTTCTTAACAGCTTCAGTTTGCTTGGCTCTACAATCAATACTCTTGGCACCAGCAGCCAGGAAATTAAAGGACGAACTGTACTGGGAAAGTCTTCTGTCAGAGACCTCTCAAAAGTACTAAAGAGCAATGATGTCAGTCTGGAGACTAAGTTGTGTCTGATACAGGTCATAATTTTTGCAATTACTTGCTATGCATCAGAAAGCTGGACAATGACTAGGGATAGAAGGAGAGCCTTTAAGCTGTGGTGCTGGAGAAGAGTATTGAATATACCATGGACTACTAGGAAAACAAACAAATTCATCCCGGAGAGGGTGAAGCCAGGCTGCTCCTGAGAGGCAAGGGTTCTGAAGCTTCATCTGACATACTCTGGACATGTTGCAAGGCGGGATCAGTCCTTGGAGAGGGACATGCTTGGGAGGGTGGAGGTACAGTGCAGGAGAGGAAGACCCTCGGTGAGGTCGCTATGAGTTGCAGGTGACTCAATGGCACACAACAACAAAGACTATCAAGTTTAAGTCACTTGCCTAAAGTATCACAGCTTTAACTGGAAGAAAGGACTCATTTTCATGGAAGACAGCTAAATCTAGGTATGTCTGATATTCCCATTTACACTGCAGTATATTGCCTTTCAAAGAAAAGATATTTTAAATGCTGTATTTTACCTGCAATACATCAAGTGATAAAAAAACTTTTTCAAAATACTTGGAAATGTTAAGTATGTGTGTGTGTGTGTGTGTGTGTGTGTATATATTTGGAAATATAAAAAGAAAATGACATTCTTTTGTGTCACAACAAGGATGAAGCGTAAATCCACCAGCAGCTCTTCAGGATAAAGACTAATAGTCTCCCCATTAAAATTTATGGTCTAGGAAATCCAATAAACGATGGCTATGAGTTGGAGTCAATTAGAAGGCAGTTTGAGAATCTCTTTGGAAGTGGACTACCATATCTTTTCCCATGGACTAGTAGGTTAGAATTGCTGACTTTCTGGTTAACAGCTGAGTGGTAAGCCACTGTGCCACCAATGATATACATAACTACTACTCTTTTACCATTCTATAGATCTACCTAGTCACTTACTTATTTATCCCCTGTAAGATTTATAAATAATTTCCTCAGAATTATACTTGGTTTTTTAAAAAAAGATATACATTAGAGCTTAAACTCTAAAGCATTTGATTTGATGAAGGCTATGGTCTACAGTGGGCGGCCTCACTAATTTTTAAGTTCTGACATAAGTTCATACTACTTATGACAGTGATTAATTGGCCAGACCCCAATCATGATGATTTTCTTTATTCTCTATCGTATAGGGAGCTCTGATGGCTTAGTTTGTAACAATCAGAATCCACTGGTTACTCCAAAGGGGAAAGATGGACAGTCCCCTTTTTGTTAAGTCTAATGGAAAGTGGCTAGGAGTCAAAGCTAGTGAGTTTGAATTTTATGTTTCTGTCATATATTATAAACCCCATGACTGCTTTTCAGCAAATTCCACTGTTCTTTGCACCTCACAAATGCTGATGGGAAACCATCAGATGATTTCCTTTGTCCTGTTTTTTGATGTTCTATAGCATCAAGTCAGAACTGACCCATAGCTGATCCTCAGCTAGTTGATTCTGATTGTTACAGACTAAGCATCAGAGCTCCGTATATGATAAAGAAAATGATCATGATTGGTGTGTGGTCTGTTATAAGTACAGTGAACTTACGTCTCAAAACTCAGCGGGTTTTCAGAGGCAGTAAATAGCCCTAGAAAAGATTGCCCATATTTCTCCTATGGAGCAGGTGGTGGATTTGAACTGCATACCTTTGTGCTGGCAATGTAATTCCTTACCACTAGAGTTCCCTACCAATTCACTGTGTCCTGTTTAAGGTTGGTTTTTTTTTTTAAAAAAGGTCACCTTATTGATATTATTGTTTTGTTTGCCGTTGAGTTGAAACTGATCCTAGCTGACCCTCAAGGAAATTTTCGGAGGCAGTGAATAGCAACGAGAGGAGACTGTCCAGCTTTCTCCCTTGGAGCAACTGGTGGATTCAAAGTATGGGCCTTTGGGACTGAAACACAGCTGCTTACCACTAGGCCACCAGAGCTTACATTTAAGCTTAAATATAGAAACTAAATTTAGGAACTCTTTCTCTAGCACAAGTGTAGCTTTTTAAGAACATTCTAAAAACCTGCATGTTCCAAACATTCTCTAATAACAATAATGCACATAATTTCATCACCTAATAAACAGGGAATAAAGCATTATTAAAATGTTGGGGTTAATTGGTAGGCCAGTTAAATAATTTATTTAGCTAAATGATTATTTTCCTATTATTCTCCTCACTAAGTGATTTATTTCTACACCAAACTGAAAACTAATTTTAAATACTTTTAAATTTTTACAGAAAAAACTATAGATCCACACTCTAGACATACAGATTAAGTTGCTAAATAATCACATCATACATATTCATTATGTGGGGTGGTTTTGGGTTGGCAGGACAACTCCTTACAGATTAGGCCACCAAAGCTTCCTATCACAATATAAAGAACATTATATATAGGCATATCAATTATAGTCAATCCACTAATTCTGAATTATACACAGAATTTTATTGAACTCTGCTGCTGTCAAATAAATTCCAACTCATAAAATCTTAAGCTCTGGATGTTGACTTAATAAACATACTCAGAATCTATTATAGGCCACACACTTTCATTGCTTACATTATTCTATCAGATAAGTCTTCTTAAGAAAGGAGGAAAGAAAACATTGGAATACAAAGGGTTGCTCTTTTATTTAAGGTGGTCTGGCCCTGTTGACATAGTCTGTAGGGAATAGCACTGCTAGCCCAAAGGCAGTGCCTCGCCAGCAGTTCAAATCCCCTAGCAGATGGGCAATTGCCTCCTAGAGCAATTTATAGGCTTTGAAAACCTGCTAGCAATGAATTAGTTTTGATTCTATGGCAAGGAATTTTTGAGAATGAGTTTCTTGATAAAGTAACATTTGAACCAAGACCTACGGAAGTTAAGAGTACATGTCATACGAATACATACAATGTTCTAGGAAGAGGCAAAAGGCCAGTCAAAGCCCAGAGGTAGTGACATCTTTATTTCAGGAACAGTAAAGAGGTCATAGTGGCTTTAAAATAAGTAAACAAAAAATGTCCCTCAAACTGGCTGTCATCAAGTCAAAACCAACTCATAGCTGACCCTCTAGTGGGTTTTCAGAGGCTGTAAATGCTCTATGAAGCTTTGTCTTGCGTACTTTTGGCATGCTTCTAGGAGAGGCTATTCACTGGAGAGGCACATTGTGTTGGGAAAAGTGGAGGGTTAGTGAAAGAGAGGAAGAACTTCAAGAGATTGACAAAGTGCCTGCAGTAATGGGCTCTGATGTGTCAGATATGTTTAGGATGGCACATGATAGGACAGAGCTCAGATCTGTTATTCATAGCATCATTATGAGTCCTACTCAACTTGATGCCACCTAACAAAGAGACTGTCTATCTCTCTCTTGGAGCCACTGGCAGATTTGAATCACCAGAGAGGTGCCACCTCTGGCTTGGCACTGCAACTCCCTTTGGACTAGGCCACTAGGCCCTCCCTATAAATAAAACAAGAAAGTTCTATCAAAGAAGAGCAGAACGAAGGCTTAGAGTCAACTCTAATAGGCCATTATAAGGATGGTAACTTTTCAGTGAGATGGAATGCAGTTAGAAGGCATTTGAGCTAAGTATTGCTGCTGAGCAGGGACCCACCAGCAGATTTTCAAAGGTAGTAAACTGCATGAGAGTTGACTGTCCATCCTTCTCCTGCAGAGCTGGTAGATTCAAACCATGAGACTCTGGGTTGACATCAAAATTCCTTACCACTAGCCCACCAGAGCTCCTGAGCAAAATAGAGATATTTTATATTGAAAAGGATCATTCTGGTTTACGAATTGAAAAATTAGGGATAGGAGGTAAGATCCTATATAGCTCCAGAAGCTGAGTGTCCTATTTTATCCATGATACTTTTTTATCATCCTTTTATTTTTTCCCCCATTCATTCATTGTTGCACTATGCATGACACTTTTTATGATTTCTTTCCAAACTTTTCCATGAATCTTTCCAAACCTTTTCTTCTTTTACAGACAAATCTTCAAGAATGTTATGCGCTCTCCTAGCTTTAGCTGTGCATCTCAAAATGTTGCTACCTCTTGGCAAGAAATGAAAGCCTGGCCTTTAAATGTTTTAAAAATTACTATTTGGAAAGAAAAAAATTCATATTATATTGGAAAAAATTCTGACCAATTAAATTTGAGTACAAAATTTCATGGTGGAAGAGTTTCTTTGATATATTTGAAACTTTTTTTAAAGGGTCAAATAGATTTGTAATTTCAATGATTTTCAGAAGTTGTAACAGCAAAATATATAAAATAATTTTATTTAATAGAACGTTAATTTTTCTACATACACCTAAGGAACTCTGGTAGCCTAGTGGTGAGAAGATGCACTGCCAACCTGAAGGCATGCGATTCAAATTCATCAGCTGCTCCATCGAAGAAAGATGGACAATCTTCTCATGTGCAACTTTTCTGCCTCTGAAAACCTGCTTGAGAGTCAGCTATGGGGCACTTCCGACGACAGCACATAGTGGCAATACATTAGAGAATGGAAAGATAGTAAAGAGTATTTACCTTGTTGGCACAAAATCTTGCAACCAAAAATAGGATATCAGTGTTGATAGTATAATGGACAAAGATGTTGCAAATCCTTTTAAAATATTATCTGCATATTTAATAACAGCAGCTACTACAAGACCTCCAAGTGCCTGTAAAAATTTTAAAAGATTGTATTTTTTAAATGAATTTATAGTAAACTACTTTTCAAAACAAACACATTACTCAGAGACATTTTAGGGTTTTGGTCTATAAATTTAATCTCACTATAAACAACTTACATTGAAAAATCATTTTAATTCTCCTGGAATCCATACTTTTGAGGTTCTTGAAATGGGGTGGCCATTTGCCCCTACTCTTGAGGGTTCCTTTTTATAAAATTTTTATTCATTCATTGTTGCACATGGAAGTTCCTTTTGAACCTTGAAGAAACTAGTTCTCTAAAGTCATCTTTAAGTTAAGAAATAGCTAGTAAGCAGCTCAGTGGAGACCATTTTATCTCAGGCATTGGGCTCTTCAGGAGAAATGTTTCTCTGCTGCCAAACTGGAGAAAGAAATTCCAGTGTCCGGCTGGAAGCTGTGTTTTAGTGTTGTTATATAAACATTAGCCTTTTTTCATGGCAACACTGATGAGATAGCTTATAAAAACGTTCTCATTTTAAGAACATTTTTTACTCCCCAGTCAAAATGTTTAATCAATTTGCAAATTATATGGTTTATTTTGCTTAAGGGAGTTCTCTTTTATTTATTGTTGGCACATTTTCTACCCCTTCTCCTCTCTCTCTCAGCCTACCTTGCAAAGCACCTCTTGTTCCATATTATACTCATACATATAATGCATAATCATATATTCCTTTTAAACAGTTCTTCCCTTCATCTATTCTAATGCATTGTTCATTATCTATGCACTTTTCCCACATTCCCTCCATGTCTGTCCTATTTTATAACAGCAGTTATGCAGTATTTATCTTTTCATTACTGAGATATTTCACTCAGCATAATGTCCTCAAGAATCCCTCATGTTGTGTAACATTTTACTATTTCACTGTTTTTCAGTGCTGTGTAGTATTCCATTGTGTGGATGTACCACAGTTTTTGTTTTTTTCTGTTAACATTTTTATTTTTCAAGGTAACAGGAATTGTATACAAATGACAGTAGACCCTTGCCTCTTTACTTTTATCTAAATAAAAGATAACTCAAGATGAATTTTCAAGGAAAAAAAAGCTATGTACATAGGGACTATATTATCCTACATCGTGTACTTGGAACCAGTAGTTGTGTTGCGTACCACAGTTTTTCTATCCATTTGTCTATTGATGGGAACGTGCATTGCTTTCATCTCTCTGCTTATTGCTCAGCAATAAACATGGGCACACATGTTTGAGTTATGGATCTGGTTTCTTTAGGGTATATTCCCAATAGTAGAACTGCAAATGTTATTTCTATTTACAACTTTTTGAGAAAGCACTATATTGCTTTCCATAGTGGTTATACCATTTTATATTTCCACCAGCAGTGAATAAGAGTTCCAATCTCTCCACAACCTCACCAGCATTTCTTTTCTGATCTGTTGAACTTTGCTATGGTTGCTGGTATGAGATGATATCTCATAGTTGTTTTGATTTGCATCTTTCTGGTAGGTAAGGATTTTGAACATTTCTTCATGTGTTAGTTCACCATCTGACTGTCCTCTTTGTTAAAGTGTCTGTTCATATCCTGTGCCTATTTTGTGATTGGATTGTTTACCTTTTTCTTACTGAGGTGACAGAATATTCTATAAATCTTAGATATAAGTCCCTTATCAGATATGTCATTGCCAAATATTTTTTCCCATCTATGGGTTTCTTTCTTACCCTGTCAAAGAAGTTTTTTGATGTGCATAGGGATGTGATTCTTAGAAGGTCCTATTCACCTATTTTATTTTCTTCTTCCAAATTATATGTTAAACAAACTTAACTAAAGCAATCAGTAGCTTATTATAATGGAGTCTGGTTATAATATGAATAAAGCATTTAATATCCAATTTAATTATGATAAATCTCTTGTTTCATGTAGGAAGACTTTTCATTCTGAGTAGTGAAGTATTTTTGTTTTTGTGTAAAAAGTGAAGTAGCTTAAAAGTCACCTTTACTAGCCTTTCAGAAACTGACCAGTTTTCCCCATGGGCTTTTTCTTCCCCTCTCACTACAGTTAGGATAATCTTCCTCAAGCACATTTAACCATATCCTTTCTTTAAGAATGCAGAAAGAAAATTCCTCACAAATCCATCAAAAAAGCCAAATTACAGCTAATTAGGTTTTGCAGCACAACTTGCTATGGATTATGTGGACCACACTGTTCCTAAACGTAGCACTTAAATAAGGTGGTTTTGGGACATTAGGGTGTTTTTCTGGGGGGCAGGAGGAGAAGGGGTTTCAAACCCTATGTCCCACCCACTTTCCAAACCTCAGTTACTACCATTATCAACTTTCACTGTACCGCTTGGTGTAGGAAATTGAAAAGATGGAAATTTATTAGAGAAAGCAATAAATTACAGCAATTATATTTGGGCTCTGGTTCCTGATACTTGGCAACAACGCCAGTCCTCTCCTCCTTAATTAATCCCTTAAATGAGTTCTATCTCATCTTATTTTCCCCAAACTTTAGCTGCTTACTCCTAAGATAAATTCTGACTTGCCTTACTGTTATTTCAAAATGTTCTCTGTATTTTCCTTATCTCGCTCTTGCTTATCTTCTAAAAATTACTGTTACTATATATAACATTTGCTAATTAACATCATATCCTCCTATCTTAAATACAGAAAAATTATTCTTTCACACTTAAATCCTTCAGAGAACAGAGTAAGAATTTTTAAAGATGAAGTTTGTTATTCCATAAGTGAACCCTTTATTCCAAGTTATAAATAAACAGAATCCAACAATAATACTCTCATAGTAACTGCAACATGAGGCTCTGACTTGTTATAAATTAAAATCTCTGCATCTATTTGTTAAGCCTCAACTGGCTGACCACAGACTTCCTGTATGAAGTTGTAGAAAAAGCAGTCAAACTTTCTTTTAACACCAACTGCTTTACCTCATGAACTATTTTCATCAGGCTTCTCTGGTGGTGGCACAGTCCGCAGCGAGTTGTGCATTACTTAATCAAAGGTGGCCTCTGGCAGTTCGAATTGACCAGGGGCTCCAGTAGTAGCCACTTCAATTCTCTATGTTAAAAGGAAGTTCATTAGCATTAAATCGAAGACTTCTAATGCTTTACCTGAAGAACAACGACTATCCAAGTCAGCTGATTATATCCCTGAAAAAATCCATTCTTTGATACCAATTCACCATCATAAATGTACACACCCATTAATCCAAATATACTCCCAAAGAAACCTAAAAAATACAGAAAGTTAATGTCAGATGTCACTTAATGTATACAAAACGGCATTTTTCTATTGGCATTCCATATACTTACATATTTATTTTTCCTTTAATGATAAAATTTAATTTTTATTTGAATGATTATATAATAACAATAAAATTATACTTATGACTGCAAAGCCAAGATACAAAAATACAGAAGACCAGATATTATCAATTTTGGAGCACAAAGCAACGTAAAAATTATAGTTGTCTCATTCAAGTCCTGCAAACGGATAATTTTGGGCCTATTTATAATTATTTAGATTTCCATAAATCTGTATTCATACATGCAGATAAAAATCTTGAGCATGCCAAATAGCATTTTTCCTTGTTAAGTTTTATAAGTACAATGGGTAATACCCCCCAAAATTAGAGCTTAGACAGAGTTGATCACAGATAACATCAGAATCTGTCTTTATGAAAGTTTCACTGTCAGGGAAAGCCCTCCACTGAGACCAATGACTAAACCTTGTTCCTTGCTTAATCACTTGCCTCTACAAAATGTGGCTGTCACAGGGCCACTAGATTGAAAGACTTTCTAGGCTATCAATAAGTGGGCCTTTTATCTGAAGTCTTTTGTAAGCTATGCAGCCAAGAAATAGAGAATGAAGATGTTTTCTTTATAAAGCCATAACTAACCAAAGCATTCTACAGTGAAAAATGTCTGAAAAGGATATGAAATGTTCTCTTTAAAATATCATTTATTCTAGCTCGATCATTTTAAAATGTCTACTTTCAAACCATGGCTTTGAATTGGTTTTAAACAGTTCACTACTGATCTAGGGTAACAAAGGTAGTGTACATATGACAGAGGGAGTCAAGCTTTTTTGGGTGAGATTTTTCCCACAGCAGGAAACAGGTAGTAGAGACCAGCTCTAGGGTGGTGGTTAACCACACTGCCACATGCATTCAAAGTGAGGTAGGGTGGGGTGCAAAGGGAGGTGGTGGGGTGTCTGTGCTAGCAGACATTTGTGAGCCAGTCACAACTACCTGTTTCCTGCTACTGTTGCTATTATTGTGTTGTGTTATTACTGGAACCAACTTCCGGCTGACTTTTCAGTGGTTTTCAGAAGCTGTAAATCACACTGGAGAAGAATGCCCAACTTCCTCCCAGAGAGCAGCCAGTGAATTCGAACCTTTGTGCCTTTGAGTTAGCAGTGCAATTTCTTACTGCTAAGCTTACTGGGGTTAAAATCCAACCACAAGAGCTTTGGCTACTATGCATTCTAGGGGTCATAAATGAATGATTTAAAGGGTTCAAAGCTGAAAAATAATGCTGTCATAATTAAAAAACATAGAAGTGAATTCTCCTAATAAGAAACAGTCCTGAAGATATTGTCATTGCTGTTCTCAGATTGGATCTAGAGTTGTCTCTGAAGCATAAACACACGATGGATAACAGGACAAAATCCTGCTAATCCTCATAATCTTTGCTGTGCTTAAGTTCACTGCTGCCGTTACTGTGTCAGTCCATCTCACTGAGGGTCATTCTCTCATTCATTGACCCTCCACTTTTCTAAACATGATGCCTCCTTGTAAGGACTGTTTCTTCCTGACTCAACATTCTTGCTTCGAAGTAGCACTCCAGTAGTGGACTTCTTTTTTTAACTACAAAAACTATAACAAAAAACTATAACACTTGAAAATTATATATTAAAAAGGAGATATATTTAAATAATTTATGTCCTCAGTATGTATAGATCTACTGCATTCTTTCCTAAAGTTGCATAATATTTAATTGTGTAGATGATGATAACATTAATTCTGAGTTATAAACAGAGCAGATTAGACACAGAAGAAAGTGAGCATTAAAGAAGGAAGACAGTGGCTCTGTAATGATGACAGAGGCAGAAGAGCCTACTCAACTCATTGCCATCAAGTGAATTCTGACTCACAGTAGCCTTACAGGACAGAGTAGAACCACCCACAGGGTTTCCAAGGCTGCCATCTTTAATCTCTATGGAGGCAGTCACATCATTCTCATGCCAAGTGGCTGGTGGATTCAAACAACTGACCTTAGGGTTAGCACCAAGTACTCAGTTATTGTGCTACCACAACACCTTAGAAAAGTCTACAGGCCCAGGAATCCCAAAGATTGGCAACTACTACAAGCGGATATACAGGAGAAAAGACATAGTAATATGCTTCTGTAGAAATTCCCATTACTGCCGAGTTGAATTGACTCAGACAACTGGTAGTGATCTTCCACTGGTTTTCCAAGGCTATAAATCCTAATGGGAGGAGACTGTCTTATCTTGCTCCCAAGGAGCAGCTGGTGGATACAAACTATGGTTTCAGCTACTGGCCCAATACTTAATATAATATACTATTCCACCAGGAATCCATAGTACAACTTGTGAAACTCAATGAGGGAATTCTAAGAGGTTGTATAGGATAAAATGAGTTAGCATGGACTCAACAGCACACAACACTACCACCAAAAAGCCCAAAATAAATAAGGTAAGACCTTTCCCTAAAGCCACACGCTGAACTGACACGGTCTCTTGAAATGTGAGAAATAAATTTCTGTTTCTTAAAGCCACATATTTGTGGTATCTGATACAGCAGCATTAGGAAATTAAGACAATATTACAGTAATATATAATAAGAGACATTTTCTTACTTTTTATGGAGTAACAACTGTACAAGGTGAATGTAATTAATGTAATTGAATTGTACTACAAAAATGACTCAGATGGTAAATGTCTTATATGCTGTTAGATGACAGTGAGTCATAGTAAACGAAAACTACCTCACAGGGTTTCTTAGGCTGCAATTTTTTTAAAACAAATTGGTTTTCATAAAATAATTCATTTATATTAAGTTCCATTCATATATTAATTTTGTTCTATATAATCCCTTACATTGAGTATTATGTAATAATTACATTGAGTATTATGTAATAATTAATACACTGTATCCCATATAATTATCATTGATCTATATCTATTATTGTTGTTATGTGTTGTTGAGTCACCTCAACTCATAGCAACCTTATGTACAACAGTTCTGACTCTGACAACCTTATGTACAACAGTTCACTGACTCTGACACACTTATCCCCAATGCCCCAGTTAGTATATCAATACATCTTATCCAGAGTCTTCCTCTCCTGCAATGCCCCTCTACCCTTCCAAAGAAGATGTTCCTCTCCAAGGATTGGTCTCCCCTGGCCACGTGCTCAAGGTATGTGAGATGGAGCTTCAAAATTCTAGCCTCCAAGGAGAAACTTGGTTTCACCCTCTCCAAGACAGACATTTGGTTTCTTGGCAGTCCATGGTATGTTCAAGACTCCTCCAGCACCACAACTCAAAGGCATTGATTCTTCTTCTTCTGTCATCCTTAGTCATTGTCCAGCTCTCTGATGCATAGCAAGTAATAAAGAAAACCACGGCCTGGATCAGGTGCACCTTAGTCTCTAGATTGACATCATTGCTTATCAGCACTCTGGAGAGGTCCCTAAGAGCAGATCTAAATGAAAGGGTGGAGTCTTAAACCCAGAGACCTACTTCTAGACAACTACCCATTGAAAAGGTGACAGTCATACTCTGACTCATCTGGTCACCAAGTGATTTTGTTTTATATTATATAGTAAAATGTATTTAAGATTAATATTACCTTGTTTTAAATATTCATGACTAATAGGGCCATTAACATCATGAATTCCTCGTTTAATTCCATCATTCTTTTTTTTAAAAATTTTATTAATTTTAATGAACATTTACAGAGATTTTAGATTTCCATTCATTGTTGCACTTTTCTTCCTGTCCAACCCTCCCCTCCAGTTTGCTCTTCTCTTTGTAACTCCAGCATTCTTATAAGCATCTCTTTAAATCAATATTTCTATTATTAAAAGTCCTGTAGTATCTTTTATATTTTTTCAGTTTTAGAAAATTTTCTATTTTCTCCATCAATCACTTCCTCTTTGTTGTCAAGCTGAAATTAACGCACAGCTGACCCTCTAGTGGTGGGCTATCAACTGCATGAGAGGAGACTGCCCATATTTCTCCTGCAAAACAATTAGTAAATTTGAAATGCCAGAGGAACTGGTTTTGGGTTAGGGGCACAGTTCTCTGTGGATTTCGCTACTAGAGCTCTCTCTTTCTCCATGTGACTGTTGATGGGTGCCGTTGAGTTGGAACTGACCCATATTTGACCCGTTAGTGGGTTTTCAGAGGCAGTAAACCCACAAGAGGAGACTGCCCATTGTTCTCCAGCTGAGCAGGAGATGGACTCAAAGCATGTGTTCTGGGACTGCAGTGAAGCTTCTTACTAACAGGGAATGGCCAAGGACATGTCGACAAAGGAGATCAATCAGAACTGGTCTTGATGGAAGACTTGTGGCAATATAACAACAGAAACCAACCAGAAAGAAATGGGGCTACAGGACAATAAAAACAGCCTCTCAAGGAATGAGGTAAAACAACAGACTCAAATACAAGATAAGAGATGGCCAAAGTTGCCATATTCATTAGAAAGAATGCACCATCAGCTGTTTAAACCCCACTCCTTACTAACAAAAGATATAGAAACTCTTTTATAAGATAAAAACGGAGTCAGTCTGTCCTGACCCATTCAGAGTCTGTTATAAATGTCTAATAAACCTCAGTTTCTTTCTCTTGCTCTCACTTGGTGTTGGTGTCTTTCTTGTATTTCCGAGTCAGAATTTTCCAGTTCTTACTCGAAGAGGCCCCTGGACCTCTTTTGGAAATCATCCCCTTGACATTACCATAAGGCTAGCATATGTGTTGTTGTTGTTGAGTACTGTTGAGTTGGAATTCACCCACAGCTGACCCTCTGGTGGGTTTTCAGAGCCAGAAAATCACATGGGTGGAGACTGTCCATCCTTCTCCAGCAGAAGAGCTGGTGGATTTGAAGTGCATGTCTGTGCAATTGCAGCACAGTTTCTAATCACTAGACCAACAGAGTTCCCTACCATAAATTACTTTAATCCCACTGTAAAGAATGAAGGCAGATAAACAACAGTTCTCACTTTATGTAAGGACATTTGAAAACTACAGTTGTCTATTTGGAGAACAGCTTTGAATTTGCAATACCACAAGTGAGTGATTTTTAAAAGATTGTTTATAGTCTGTCATCAAATTGATGTTTTTCCAATATGGAGACCTAAGGATGTTTGAATCTTTTAGAAAACAGGAAGCAGAATAATAATGAATAATGCTGGGGGAGGAAGGAACTTGCAAACAGCTATCTATTATATTATATATATTATATATAGTTAAGGGTTTCTACTTATCTAGAACACAAGAAACAGAAACCAAAGACTCAAAGAACTAGTTCCCAGGGCAGTCTACGCAGACCAGTCTCACATACATAAGAAGAACAATGTGCTAAACGAGCATTACAAACTATTCTAATTGGGTCCCAACAATGGAAGGAAAATAGTCTTCTAAAAAATAAGAAACAAAAACCTTACCAAGCAACTGCAACAAAATACCCTACTCAACTGGCTGAGTAGGAAAGAAGGTGAGACTATCATTCTGAGATACTTCTCCAACCCTGAACAGAGATGAACTTCTGAGGCTGCCTTGTAGCTAAATAACAAATTGGTTCAAGGAATAAAGAACACTGCTTACAAGAAATATGCTTTTTTAAAAAAGAAAAATTTAAAAAAGGAACAACCTACAAGAGACCAAACAAAAATTAAACAGAGTTGGGGAGCTCTGGTGGTCTCGTGGCAAGAAGCTGCACTGCAATCCCATAGGTAAGTGCTTCGAACTCAATGCTCTGTTGGAGAAGGCAGGGCAATCTCTTCCTGTACCAGTCAGATCCAATTTGATGGTACATACACAAAAATAACAAAATTAAAAGAAAAAAAATTAAACAGAGTTGAGACTGTGAAGGGGCAGGGAAACTACATCAATGGAAATGTACAACCAGAACAGAAATGAGCAATATTCACTCACTGTAAGAATGCAATCAACATCAACAAGCAACCTGTGGAGGAATTTTAATGAATGAAAACATCAACTGCTGTGTAAATGCACTCTGGAAACATCATAAAATATTACTTTGAAGGGAGCTCTGGTGGCCTACTGGCAAGAAGCTGCACTGTAATCCCAAAGGAGCATGGTTCGAATCCACCAGCTGCTCCCTGGAGAAGGAGGGGCAATCTCCTCCTATACCAGTCGGATCCAATTTGACACCACCCCCACCCCACGCTTAAAAAAAAAAAGAGTACAAACAATTCACTATGTAAGGTCTGGAGAGGCTTCTAAGGCTACTGATTAAGAGACCTGGTGTAGACTGCCGGGGTATTAAGAGTCTAATGTTCAAAATGGCTTCTCTATCCACTGAGACTTTGCCATGTTGATGGATTGGATTATATGTATAGGACATATAAGCTTATCCACAAGGGGCTGGCTTGTCTCACTAATCCACAAGGGAACTGGCTAGTCTCACCACTAAACTGGGTGGATCCAATAGTAGAATTTGAGACCATCACTACCAGCAAAGGCCAAGCAAGAGAATGCAACCCATCCTTCGGAGCCAGAGATTCTTCTGCCAGTCAAACCAGGGCCTGCAGAAGCAGCAGCCATAAAAGCTGCAGTAGAGAACCAGAGACCTGACATGAGACAGAGGCAAACTTGCTACAGCTTATGTTGAAGTTTGGTGGAGATGGGGTGGTGGTGGTGGTCATGGTGTGCAAGAGGGCCACAATTGGCAGGACTAAGGGCCTAAAGCCTCAAGGCTCAAACAGCTGAGCACATTTTGGAAGCTGTCCTGACTGAGTGATTTTATTCTACTACTAACTTGAATTATATTGCCTTTTCAATTTCCTAATTTCTCAATATTAACCACAATTTGTTATGATCCAAACAGTCAAATACCTTTGCAAAGTCAATGAAACACAGATAGACATTCCTCTGGTACCCTCTGCTTCCAGTCAAGATCCATCTGACCAATTGGTGATAATGTATCTAGTATCATGGCCTCTTTTAAACCCAGTTTGTAGGATCACAACAAATTGTGGCTAATCTTGAGAAGAATGAGAATCCTAGAACATTCAGTTGTGTGTGCCTGCAAAACCTATACTTGGACCAGAAAGCAAGGAAACACTGCATGATTCAAAATTAGAAAATGAGTGCCTCAGATATGCATCCTGTCTCTATACCTTTCCAATCTATATGCTGAATAGATCATTTGGGAGTCTGGACTTTATGAGGAAGAATATGGCATCAGGATTGGAGGAAAATTCATCAACAACTTGTGTTATGCAAATGATACAAACTTGCTTGCTAAAACTGAGAACCTGAAGTGTTGCTTGTAGTCAAGAACTACAGTCTTCAGTATGACTTGAAGCTCAAAATCAGAAGACAAAGAATCTCATGATAGGACCAATTGAAAGCACCATGATAGATAGAGAAGAGATTGAGATTGTTAACAATTTCAACTTGTTGGGTGCACAATCAACACTCTAGCACCAGCAGTCAGGCAGTCAAAGGACAAATTACATTGGGGAAGTCTGCTATCAGAGACCTCTCCAAAGTGCTAAAGAGCAATGATGTCAGTCTAGAGACTAAGATGTGCCTGGTCCAGGCCTTAATCTTTGCAATTACTTGGCATGCAGCAGAGAGCTGAACAATGACTAACAATGATAAAAGAATCAATGCCTTTGAATTGCGATAATGGAGAAGAGTACTGAACACACCACGGACAACCAAGAGACGCTGCTCTTTGGAGGCTAGGATTTTGAAGTTCTGTCTCACAAACTTGGGTATGTGTCCAGGAGAGACCAGTCCTTGGAGAAGGACATCATGCTTGGAAGGATGGAGAGAAAGCTCAGGAGAGGAAGACCCAAGATAAGATGGACTGACACAGTTACTGGGGCAATGGGGTAGGTGAGTCAGTGAGACAGGCTCAGGATAGAACAGAGTTCAGAGATACTGTATATAGGGTCGCTGTGAGTCACAGGTGACTTGATGACATGTAACAACAATAACAAATGATTCTGTGTGGTCTGTGAACCAGCACAGTGGATTCTGGATCCAGCAAAGCAGTAAGATCAGTGTGGGGATGACTGAAAAAAGATGCGGAGTATGAGGGACATGTCTGACCTCATGGGAATTGGTTTTGTGCTGGTGATGCTGAAGGGGGAATTTCACCTTTGAAGAGCTGATGGAGGTCAGATACAGTCATCCCCATATGGCCCTTCCTCTTTTTACAACTGGGGAAAAAAAAATTAAAGATGAACTCCATCAAAGGCTAGATGTGATGAAGGATTGAGTGGGATGAATATATGTCAGAGTTTATATTAAATGTTAGAAACTTTGAATGAAGCACTAAATGTCACAATACTGTAAACAGTTTAAATATCCGTTCAATACTTTGTTCAAACAAATACAATCAGTCAATACACGGGATTATTTCATACTGTCTTCAACTGGAGTCCCTGCTTATGTTGAAAATGCTGGCCTACTAAGTGTCATGAGGTGGGAATCATCTCTATGGCAAGGAGTTTTTACCTTCAGTTAAAAAATGTCTCAGGAATTTTTTTTAAAGTCGTAAAATATTTTTAAATAAAAATTCCTATCAATATGAAAAACAAAACAAAACAAAACACCACAGAAGGTAAAGGTACATTATTTCACACTACTATTATTTATTGGAAGCAGGAGTGACATCCACTAAATAACATGCCTCTGGAAACTCTATGAACTTTGAGAAACAACAATAGCTATGAAAGACTTCCGGTCTTTTGTTCATAGGGTCGCTATGAGTCATGCTCAACTCCATGACAATCAACAATAACAAAAACAATAACTTGTATTTAACTATCTTAATCTCATTTTCCAAGTGTCTTGTTATGTGTACAATATAGAAATACCTTCAGGAACAATTTATACCTCTATGTCATAGACTTAAAATTCTGTATTTTAAAATAAAGGCATTCACTTAAAATACAATTACTTAAAGCAAAATTACTGTCAGATATTTAGATCAATAAAATAGATCTGTGATGCTTATTTATCTAAATATGTCCAGAAATTATTTTTAAAAAAATCTTTTTTAAAGACTTTGAAACTTACCAAGCTGAATGTTTCTTATCCACACTGATTGCTTTGTTTCTTTTAAGATTTTCTCAAAGTAAACCCCAGCAAAGCCACTTGAAAAACATGCTATGAGAACTGCCATGAGTCCTATAAATTGAGAGCCAGCTGAGTGCTGCTTCGATTCAAGTTCTTGAGAATCTGAAGGCCACTGCACAAAAAGGGAAGATAAACTTGGAGTGTCTTTTAACATTTTACAAAGCATATATTCAGAGCTATTGGGCCTTAAGAAAAACTTCAACCAGTATCATTACTGCAAACTAAAGCAAAGCTTTTGAAAGAAAATCTTGGATTATGTGATGTCCCCTTATTATGCTGATAATAAATTATTGTTATAGCTTATATATTTTTTAAAAAATATCACCATAAGAAAATAAATGCTTTCCATTTAAAAAGACTAACCCATTACCTTGATAAAATTCTTTCAAGTTATTTTTTTAAAACCACCATTTTAAATATAATTAGATGAAAGAATGAAAGTCTTATATCCTATCTGCCATCAGAGCAAAAAGACAGATAAACTAGAAAGAAGTGTGCTGCCTCAAACATAACAAAATTTTCATTGGCAGTGTTTGAGATTCACTGACAAAGTTGATGGAAGGTGAAACTAAAACACTGCCCATCAAAGATAGGACATTAAAAGGTGAGGAAAAAGTTCAGATAAACCAGGGAAAAAATATGTTGAAAGAAATTCTAATAGAATCTAAACTTTCTAGAGCTTTAAATGCTACCTGAAATGATTTCCCTGAAAAAACTATTGTTCTGAGATACTCTTTGAACCTTAAACCTTGAGCTTCAATTGGCCTCTTCAAAGCCAATTGTAAATAAAACAGTCTAGTTTAAATTACCATGGGCATTGTGGTCTTTTAGAGACTTACTGACATGAATTCAAACTACAATTTTAAAAAATTTATATGCTATCAGTACCCCGAGTTAATTTTCTCCCTAAATTTTATTTTGTTGTTCAGAGTATTTATAGGAAAATCTATACTAATTTAAGAGTTTTTACATATACAATACTTCATAATTTAATATCCGGAAAGCCTCATGGTTGTTGTATCTTTTCTCCCTACCTATTCAATATGTATGCTGAGCAAATAATTCAAGAAGTTGGACTATTCGAAGAAAAAATGTGACATAAGGAATGTAGAAAGATTAATCACCTGAATTATCCAGGTAACACAATCTTACTGCTGAAAATGAAGAAGACTCGAAAGTGCTGCAGATGATGAAAAACGACAGCCTTCAATGTGGGTTGTTGTTTTTTGTTGTTATGTGCCGTCGAGTTGCCTGCGACTCATAGCGACCCTATGTACAACAGCCCTAAACTCTGCTCTGTCCTGTGCCAATCGCACTGTCTCTGACACTCCCATCCCAATTATCCCAGTCACTGAATCAATCCACCTCATAGAAGGCCTTCCTTTCCTGCGCTGGCCCTCCACCCTCCCAAGCATGATGTCCCTCTCTAAGGACCGGTCTCTCCTCACAACATGTCCAAAGTATGTTAGACAGAGCCTCAGAACCCTTGCCTCCAAGGAGCTACCCGGTTTAACCCTTTCCAGGACAAATCTGTTTGTTTTCCTAGCAGTCCATGGTGTTCTCATTACTCTTCTCCAGCACCACAGCTCAAAGGCATCAATTCTCCTTCTATCCTCCTTGGTCACTGTCCAACTCTCTGATGCATAACAGGTGATTGCGAAGACCATGGCCTGTATCAGACGCACCTTAGTCTCCAAAGAGACACCAATGTGGGTTAGATCAAGAAAATAAAAATTCTCACCAATGGACCAATAGGCATCACCATGATAGATGGAAGTTGTTAACAATTTCATTTTACTTGAGAGCAATATCCAAAATTAATACCCACAGTAGTGGCAGTCAAGAAATCACAGGGGGAATCTCCCATCAAGGACCTCTCTATAGCACTAGAGAGCAAGTATGTTAGTTTAAAGACTAAGGTGGGCATGAGCTAAGCCATGGTGTTTTCAAGCGCTTCCTAGGCATCTAAAAGTTGGGCAATGAATAAAGATGACAGAACTGATGCCTTTGAATTATGGTGCTGGAGAAGAGTATTGAATATACCGTAGACTGCCAAAAGAACAAACAAATCTGTCCTGAAGAAAGTACAACCAAAGTGCTCCTGAGAAGCAAGGATGGTGAAACTTTGTCACATATACTTTTATATGTTCAGAAGGAAGCAGTCTTAGGAGAGAATCCATAATGCTGGTAAAGGTCAGTGAAAAAGAGGAAGACTCTCCACAAGTAACTATCACAATGGGATTGAGCAGTAGAGCTCATGAGGATGGAGAAGGATTGGACAAGAATCAGATCTGCTGTACAAAGAGTCCTGAGGAGCTGACACGACAACCTCTAACAACATACACAATTTAGTGATACTGATTATGTACAATCATTCCCACCCTTCTTCTCTGATCTATCCTTCCCTCATTAATATAATTTCACAGCCCAGGTGGTCTAGTTGTGTTGTCAAATCAAAGGAATGCAGTTAGAATCCACCAGTTGCCCCAGGGAAGAAAGACAATCTCCTCCTGTGCTATTTACCATGTCTGAAAATGCCCTGGAGGATCAGCTATGCGCTGGGTCCAAAGTAATAGCAAATAAAAACAACAGCACAGCTCTTAAGGTTCTTATATAATTTTTCAAGTTTCTCTTGTTAATTTGATCCCATATAGGTGACTCATACAACTTCAATGGCATCAAGTGGAAACCGTTATGAGCTGATGAGAGAGACAGAGAGAGACACAGAGCGCGAGCAAGCGAGCGAGCGCAAGAGCACGCAGTTGGCCTAGTGGACAGAAAGCCATGCTCCCAAGCCAAAGTGGGTGACTCTATTCCTCTACTATGCGGCCCTCAGGCCTGCCTTTAACTGTTTTTGGTGAAACATTCTTCTAGGTCGTGCAACCCTGGTATGTCCACTTGCTGTACAGAGGTAACTTGTGGTTGCTGTGAAGCCGAACACTGTGACACTGATGAGTCAAATGCGAGAATGGTTACCCATGGTGGACAGTGTTTGGTGAAGCTCCCTGATTAAAACAAGCTTAGAAGCAGGAGTGGCAGCCACTTCCATAATAGCTTGCCTCTGGAAACCCTATGAACCTGGAGAAAGGACAAAAGTTATACATGAGGTGTCCAGGACTTTTGCTCACAGAGTCACTATGAGTCGCCTGAGACTTGACGGCACTTAACAACAACAACAACAACAACAACATCATAGATCACATGGGAGAAAACTGTCCATCTTGGTGGGTATCAATCACCAGAGTCACCCTGTCTTTTGAGTTAACAATGTAACTCTCTAAAGACAGATGTTGTTAGGTGCCTTCAAGTCAAGTATGACTTACAGTGACCCTATGAAAAAAAGATCTATTCAGCACAGCCTCACACTTCCTGACACACAAGATCCCATTGCAGCACGCATTGTGTCAAAAAATACCTAGAGGTCTTCCTCTCCTTTACTGACTCTCCATCCTTCCCAACATCATGTCCTTCTCCAAGGCACAGCCGCCCCTCCTAGGAACATGTCCAAAGTATGTGAGGTGAAGCCTCATCATTCCTGCCTCCAAAGAGCACTAGCTGCACCCTCTCCAAGACATATCCGTTCTCTTGGCCAAGCATCAATTTTTTCCCTGTCTTTCTTATTCATTGTCCAGGTCTCAGATGCACAGCTAGCAATTAGAAAAATCATGGTCTGAATCAGATATATCTTAGTCCCCAATACTCTTCAATAATTTGGAGAGGTTCTTAACCACAGATTTTCCCAGTGCAATGTGTTTCCTTATTTCCTGAATGCTGGTACCAAGGGTGTTTATTATGTATCCAAGCAAGACGAAGTTGTTGACAGTTTCAATCTCCTCTCCATCCATCATGATGCTGCCCATTGGTCCAGTGGTAAGAATCTTTGTTTTCTTGATATTGAGATGCAATCCCTCCTGAAGGCTGTATTCCTTGATTTTCTGCAACAAGTGATTCAAGTTCTCCTCTCTTTAAGCAACCCTAAAGAGTTGTTGTTGTTGTTATGTGCCATCGAGTCGTTTCCGACTCATAGCGACCCTATGCACAACAGCTCTAAACCCTGCTCTATCCTGCGCCAACCGCACC